TACATGTGGCATGACAGATTCTTAGTTATCCTGGCATGGGTAGGGAACAGAATACCAGAAAAAGGAACATCTGAAGTTAAGTATCCGAAGATGCACAGCATGTTTCTCCTAAAAATAATGCCACTGCCATTCATTTCCAAGGTTCTCCTTGTCACAAGTCTTCTAATAATCACAGTAGCTTGTGTTGTGCATCTGTAATAGAGTAGACAATTGACAGTGAACTAGAGATTTGTGTTAATCCTAAACAGCAATGTTAGTTCCTCAGGGGGTTAATTTCAGTTCTGTGGTTTTAGGAATGAAAAGAGAATTCTGCTAAATTACTTTACACTGATGGTTTATGTTGCTTTCTTGAACACGTCTTCTTTTCCAGATCCGAAGGAGGATTGGCTGATGAGACAAGTCTATCGCAAAGACATATTGAACTCTACGTGCCTGATGAACAACCTCTCATATTCACAAAGCAAACTGCCACATGACGTTGCAAGACAGATCTTTGTGGAGCATAACCACAAGTTCATCTATTGTGAGGTGCCCAAGGTCGGCTGCACCAATTGGAAGAAAATCATCCTCCTCCTCACAATGAACCTGAGCAGAGAGATTAATGAAGTCCATGATGATCTCATCCATAAAACCTCACTGATAAAGAGGCTGAGTTCTTACTCTTCTGACTACCAGGAGAAATTACTGACCAGTTACACCAAAGTGATGTTCACCAGAGATCCCCTGGAACGGTTGATTTCAGCTTACAGAGACAAGCTTCTGCATTCTGAGCCATACTATAGTATCACTGTTGCAAATGAGATCAAGGCCATGTTCAGGAAAAACAAAAATTCAACTGAAAGGGTCACTTTCCAGGAGTTTGTTAATTTTATTCTGACACAAAACCAAGAAAAATTAGACATTCATTGGAGACCAATGTTTCTACTCTGTGATCCTTGCGACATTCATTATGACATCATGGGGAAGTTTGAGACCGTAGTGCAAGATTCTGAACGTGTTCTTAGGAACATTGGTGCCCCAGAGGATATGCATTATCCGAACTTTAAGAAATATAGCTCAGAGAAACGTACGAGTGATGATATCACCTTGGCATATCTCAGAAAGCTGAGCTCGGAGCAAATCCAAAAGATCAAGGAGATGTACAAGATGGATTTTGCCTTGTTCAACTATCCTTATGATTTGCAAATGAACCTTAATGAAACTGATACAGTATGGAGAAAAAGGCCATGAATTTGTATATAAAGATAATTGCAGGTGGTTGATGGTAGCACTCAAGCAGTATAAGTGATTAGTAGCTCATGAATCTATTTGTCATAGGCATTTGTGGTGCTGAATGTACTATGAATCATCATTTATAAAATTATCAGGACCAATATTACAAAACACTAGTGAATATTCTATCAGATATGCTAGGTAAAGTATTGGTAGAAAAGGCATGATTTGCTACATGTGATATGCTGGTTCATATGTATGTGTCATCTTTTTGGTTTACTGTTGTCCCAGACTTGTGCAGTGTATCTGGGTGACACCCATAGACAGATTGGCATCGGTGCTATCCAGCCTCCTTGATGGCTCATCAAGGACAATCAGCTGTACAATGAACCCATTGAGAGAAGCCAGGGGTTGTGTCTTTGAGTCAACAGGATATTTCAGGATAAGTTTATGGACATGGGACCCCAAGTGCTTTCTATGTGTTTGGGACAAAGGATGTACAAGCTACATGGCAGAGAATATCCCTAAAAAGAGTACAGGAAGCTTCGGCGCCTCTGCGCTGCCATCGTGGGAGCCGGAATCTGGCCCATAGTCTGCTCCAGAATGAAAATGCCAATAATCTCCCCTCTGCTAGAGAAGTGACCAGGAGGTTGTTAACTTGATTCTGAGAAACCCTAAACCACACAAATATCCCAACAATGATCACCGCCAGCAGTAAGAACATTTGGACATTCATTGGTTTGTTTCTGCTCTGTGGGCACCACACCAAGCACTGTGACATCATGAGGAAATGTGAGACCCTGCAGCAAAGTGTTGAGCATGTTCCCAAGGATATTTGAGGCCCAGAAAGTTTGCATTAGTTTAACTTTAAGAGGTATGACTGAGAACAATGAACCAGTGCTATTACTACCATGGAGTTTCTTAGAAATCTGAACTTGCAGCAAATGACCCTATAGACAGGCTGTGTCCAATATTTACCTTTTATGGGATCTTAAACTCACACAGCTGTGTTGCTGTTTCAAAAATTAAAAATGGGAAGCAATATTTGAAATGCCTTAATTTTCTGAGAGTGCTGGGAATATTAAGAAGTGTCCCTTGAACTTATAAACCAAACAATTGTTCAGATATTTAGGCCAGAGTGGGCTCATCTTTTCTCAAAACTCTGAAACTCAATAACTGTAGTGCCGTGAAAATACAAACTGTCCCCTCAATGCACTCAGGTGACATATTTAAAGTTAGTTCATCAAAGTTGCATGAGCTATGTCAGAGTTAGCCAGCATAGCTTGCCAGCTCCAGGAGCTCCTTCCAGTTGCTACTGACCTACAGGAATAAGTTAGTTTCCTCTTCTTTCCTCAACCCCTGTCCTCTCTGCAGGGAGCAGGGTGTGTAGGGATGCCTCTTGTGGTCAGTAGTCAGAGTGGTGTCCTGACCAGTATCTTGTTCTGTGCAATGGTGATAACTGTTAGGCTGTGTACTTGTGCTTCTCCTGGGAGCTGCAGATAGCCAGCAAGGCAGACTCTGAGACAAACCCTCAAAGATCACAAAATCAGGTGAGGGACAAAGGAACCAGGTCATATTTTGTTGTAAACAAAGTACAGGAATAGCACCTGGTAGACTCTGAGGATACTGAAAATGTGTGCCCATGACAATGGATTCAGCTTAGTTCATGGTGGGGTCAATCAAAACATTGCTATCCATCATGCTAGACCTTATCCTGAATCTGGGTCAGCATGTTCCTGTTATCTGTGGGGTGTGTGGTGGTACCAAGATGTTTCCTAATATGAGGTGATGTTGTTATGCCTCTGGAATGTTCTTAAGGCCTGTGCCTACTACCTCTGAGATATGAATGTTTCTGTAATCTCAGTCCTGTTCTTGCCAAGTTCTACTGTGCTCACAGCTTAACTTTGCTTTATATTAGCAAAGCCTTGGCCATTGTTGTCTAGGCCTCAGGCCTCACACAGACCTCTGATACATGGGCTTGTGATTTAGGCTGTCATCTTAGCACAGTCCTCAAGTTAGTCTGAAGAGTGAAGCTCTCCGTGCTTCTCTTCAGACACCTTTTCTGGCTGGTCAATACCCCGAGTGGTGTCCAAAGTGCCAATCTGATGAGCTACAGGACAGAAGCCTATCAGTAGTGATGCAAAGCATGAGACTCTGGAGGCACGGCATGGGACTTTAGGAGAAGGCCATCACTGACCAGCAGTAATGGGGAGATGTACCTGCCCCCCTGCCTTAGATCTTCCATGTTGCTATTTATTCCCCATAACACAAGACAGAATGGTGGACATCTCACCCACTCTTTCAGTACCCTCAGTTTCTTCATGTTTTCCACAGAGACCAGTGTGGTGGGTGCCACCTTGCTCCCACTATCCACCGCCCTCCATAAACATCCCCTAGATCTCTCCTTCAGTTTGCAGAAGAAACTTCTTATTCTTTCTGGCTGGGCTGGGCTGACAAACCTCTTGAGTTTCATCAGACTTTCTTCCTGGAGCTTGGAGAGGGAGGGCTCGGTCCCTGTACTCCACCTCCATTAATCCCCAAAAGGGGGTGTGCCAGAATTGCAATACTGATCTGGCCACTGGGCTTTACCGCCCCGTTGACTGGGCTCATTATAGACTAGACTGCTGAGCCGTCCCGGCCCACTGATTGGAGGATCATTATTAACTAGGTTGCTGAGCTGTACCACCCTGCTGGTAGAGGCTATAGATGCCTAAGAGGCATCCCTGCCCAAGACCTCTGATACATGGGCTTGTGATTTAGGCTGTCATCTTAGCACAGTCCTCAAGTTAGTCTGAAGAGTGAAGCTCTCCGTGCTTCTCTTCAGACACCTTTTCTGGCTGGTCAATACCCCGAGTGGTGTCCAAAGTGCCAATCTGATGAGCTACAGGACAGAAGCCTATCAGTAGTGATGCAAAGCATGAGACTCTGGAGGCACGGCATGGGACTTTAGGAGAAGGCCATCACTGACCAGCAGTAATGGGGAGATGTACCTGCCCCCCTGCCTTAGATCTTCCATGTTGCTATTTATTCCCCATAACACAAGACAGAATGGTGGACATCTCACCCACTCTTTCAGTACCCTCAGTTTCTTCATGTTTTCCACAGAGACCAGTGTGGTGGGTGCCACCTTGCTCCCACTATCCACCGCCCTCCATAAACATCCCCTAGATCTCTCCTTCAGTTTGCAGAAGAAACTTCTTATTCTTTCTGGCTGGGCTGGGCTGACAAACCTCTTGAGTTTCATCAGACTTTCTTCCTGGAGCTTGGAGAGGGAGGGCTCGGTCCCTGTACTCCACCTCCATTAATCCCCAAAAGGGGGTGTGCCAGAATTGCAATACTGATCTGGCCACTGGGCTTTACCGCCCCGTTGACTGGGCTCATTATAGACTAGACTGCTGAGCCGTCCCGGCCCACTGATTGGAGGATCATTATTAACTAGGTTGCTGAGCTGTACCACCCTGCTGGTAGAGGCTATAGATGCCTAAGAGGCATCCCTGCCCAGCCTCCCAGGGGGCTGGGTTTTCCACCCCATGAAAAGAGGTCACACACAGACCTTAACCCTCCTCCTATGGAGGGATGACACACACACTCCCATACACCCCTTTCAAACATGAGGTTGATCAACTGGCCTGTCGCACCCTGCCCTGTGCTCTCTACTGGCCTCCATGCCCAGCTGGCCTGAGGGACAGATCTGCCTCTTCTGATACATGGTGCTGCAACTTCCTGAGGCAAAATGCAGGGGAGGCATGCAGGGTCACATTCCCCACAAGCTCCAATTTCTGCCATGCTTCACCCCAAAATGTGGCCAGCAGCAGCCTTTTAGCATTGGGTGGGAAGGGAAGGGGGCAGAAGCTGCTTCCAGCTTTAGAGAAAGTGGAAATGATTCCTGGCCCTTGTCTTTGCAAAGCTCATCTGTTCGCTTTCCCACTCCCCAGCTGTCCCTCTCACACCCCCACTTGGTGCAGCTTGTCACGTCCTGGCTGCACTGGGTATAATGGCAGCTAACCCCTCCAGGCTGCTGCTGGCCACCCACATAACCCAGCTGCATCTGGCTACAGTGTGGGCAGAAAAGGGTTAATCCCAAAGTATGAATTGTGCACTGTGGATCTGGGAAACCTGCCTTCAAGGGCTTCAGCAAGCAGGGCTAGAGGTGTGGCTCAGTAGGGGAAGGTTCCAATTGGCAGTATTCAGTACGGATGTTAAGAAGCATATTATTTTGTTAATCATGTAGTCGTGGCTCTGCAGGGAAAGTGTATTAGGAACTAGTGGGCAGACAGTCTGGCTCAAGCACAGCTTGCGCCCGGTCCTGAGAGTTACCTCCACTGTGGCTCTGCAAGGAAAGTATTACCCCTCTAAAAAATTTACTGGCAGAGCCGCTGCCGGGGAGGGTGTTAGCCGGTGGCTGGGGTAGTGAGTGGTCTGTGAGCCCTATCACACTCGAGTCTTTGACTGCTAGGACAGAGTCCCTTCTCAGCAGGCAGCCAAGGAGGCTGATGGGCGCCCCAAAGATACACCTGAGTCTTTAACTGCTAGGACAAAGTCCCTTTGCAGCGGGCAGCCAGGGAGACTGACGGGCGCCCCAAGAGTCTGCCCCATGGAGGTGGCATGACTCAACGCTCAGTTCTTACTGCATTTATCCCTGATTGCCTATGGTTCTTTTTGATTGTGTTTCCTTCTGTTATAGCAACAGGAGGAGTCAGGTTAAAGTTTAAACAGTTATTATTTTATTGTTACAAGGCACACTTAGCTATTAAATGTTACTGCTGTGTTACAGATAACACAGTTACTACAAAGACAATACAATAACAGTCACTTAAAGGTACCATGGAACCATTTGGTTCCCTGAGTTCTTATTGAATGCGCACAGACACACACCTAGCAGGTATATTCTCACCCCTGCGATCTTTACACCGGCGAAGCCAGCGTTTCTCTCAATCCCAGTGGGAAGCAGTCGATACGAGATGAAGGTGTCCCTAAAGTCTTGGGGGTCCAAGACCACCTGACCAGCAGGTATATGG